GCCCTGCCTCCTCCTGTAGCTCTCTACCATCCGCTTATAGCTCGCTGCCCCACCCTCCTGCTGATTTGTGATCTGGTCGTTACATAGTCGGTCATTACACTTCATGGCATAATGACCATTTGCATATTACATCTTTATTATATAGGATATTTGCCAACCTCTGACTTAGAGCAGTGGATCCAGAGTTTAGTCCCCTGACAAGCATCATCATCATCACCTGGGAACTTAATAGAAATGCAAATTATTAAACTACCCTGGACCCACTTAGTAGGTGATGGTGTTTGCTAAAGTTTGGGAACCATTTTTTCCAGTCTGTGCTATGTAATGACTACTTTTGAAAAGACTTGTAACAGAAAATTTCTACTTTGTCATTCTAATGTGTTTTAAATAGAAGATTGTTATGGTTCTCTAAAGTCCTTCATTGCCCTATAGCTCATGAAACATGAACAACAGAGATACAGTATTGTCACAGGGCTTAGCATATGGTAAGGATTCATTATACATTTGCTAGATGAGTGAAGCAGATTTCTTAAATGCCATTATTTATATGGGAAGAATAAAAATTGTGCACATTCACTTTGAGGCTATAATGTTTTTTAGATTTCAGTGGTATTTTATGCCAGCTCAGACAGAGCTTAAGAAACAGAAAGATTAGTACCCAGTAGCTTTCATTTTGGCAGATTGGTGTTGAGGGGTGGCACATGGGGTGTTGAAGAATAGAACATTTAGTCCAAGTCCAGACTATAGTATCTTCTGAAGAATAGAATGGAAGCTTTCTGCCTTGCAGGATGGCATAATCAGTATCACCTCAAGGAATTGTGGGTCCCACATGGTTTTGTGACCCATAGGAAGTCTCTAGTTTGTTTGCTGAGAGTGAGAGTTAAACATTGGGACATTCACTGAAAAGATTAGATAGTTTTTTTCTGGGGACCTTTAGAAACAACAGAGATTATTTGTGTCTAAAGAAACTTGAGTACATGTCTTGTCCCTTTTCCCTCACAGTTTTTTGTTTGTTTGTTTTTTGTAACACTTGGTTTATCATTTTGTTATCCTATAGGTCTTTTTTATTTACTTAGATTATTAAATAACAAACCTATTATAATTGATACATAACAAATTAGATTGGTAAATAAACTTTTGAATGCTTTCTCTTTGTTTTTTAAGTTTCACTTAACACTCCTGTATTTATGAAAGATATGAGCTTGGTGTATAATTTATACTCATTAATTGTTTGTTGGATAAATGGTAGCTCTTTCAGACTCTGACAAGTGGACAAATTGTGATCTTTTGATTTAGAACACATATTTTACATTTATTAACCTGATTGGTATTCTTTCCCCTAATTTTATAGTACTGTATGTAAAAGAGAAGACATATGATTTAGCATTTAACACACTCTGATAATTCTTTTTGTTTATTTATTACTAGAAGCCTGATGCATGAAGTTGTGTGCAGTTGGGGTTCCTAGGTCTGGCCAGCAATTGTGGCTGATGGGGCTGTTTTACCCAGTACCTTGGGAGGGGCTGTGGGATGTTGGTGGGCCAGCCCAATCAGGGCCAGTTGGGTAACCAGCCAGGGAGAGGGACTGTAGGATGTTGGCCACTGCTGGAGATTGGTTGTGGGAGTGCACAACCAATCTGCATTGAGTATCTGCCCTCTGGTATCAGTGTGCTTCATAGCAACTGGTCAACTGGTTGATCTCTTAGGCTTTTATATATAGAGATGATTATTTTAAAATATAGCTTTATTTTATTGATTTCAGAAAGGAAGGGAAAAAGAAACATCAATGATGGGAATTATTGATGGCAGCCTCCTGCATGCCCCCCACTGGGGATTGAGCCCATAGCTGGGGCATGTGCCCCTGACTGGAATGGAACATGCAACATTTCAGTCCTCAGACCTACACTCTATCCCCTGAGCCAAACAAACTAAGACTGATAATTCTTTTTTTAAAGGGAGCATTAAAAATTCCTTTTACCAAAGGTGGCCATACTTTACTAACACTCTCAAATACACCATTGTTTTATTTAGTTTTTCTTGCTATTAATCTATTCAAGATATTCTATTTTCCTAGATATTAAATTTTGAAAAGCTTTCATTGCCATTAAAATATCTCAAGCTTTGTGTTTTTGAGATGTGTAGTTACCTAAAAATTTTGGAGGAAGTCCAAGAACACTGCTAGAAGGAACAGTGGAAGTTCTCAAAAACCTGGGGGCCATGTTTTAGTAAATATCTGTTGATCTGAACTGAGAGTAGGTTCTTTTGACTTTTTTTTTCTACGAAGTTATTATCACTATGATTAAATCCAGTCATCATTCCATTCTGCTTTTCTTACTGCCATATTTCTTGCATCTTTTTTTTAAAGATTCTATATAGGTACTGAAAAGCTAGCATCAGAGCTATCAAAACCACAATTTTTATAGACATTGTAGAAATAATAACTGAGCTATTAGTACTGTTTCAAAGAATGAGTATTTGGGATACTGACTCTACTGTAATAACTAATTAACACATACTTTTTTGAGAGCTAGGTACTGAGTTTGTAGTATATAAATTCAAGGAACTCATAATCTAGTTTGGGGTAGAGAAGACAAGCATGCACATTGAAATGTATTTCCAGTTCTTCATGATGTTTTCATAGAAAATAGGAGAAACTATTTGGGGAAGGTCTCTTTATAGATGTGATGCCAAAGCTAAGTTCTTACGGACTAGTAGAGGTAGAAGGGTACAGAATGATGTTTTATGAAGAGGGTGGTTCTGTGGTTCTGTGGTTCTGCAAAAAGTCACAGAACTATGAATTTTGTAAGTAAAAAATTTTCTTCTTCTTTTTTCCTTTTTTAAACGAAATTTTTTAAATATTTATTTTTATTGATTTCAAAGAGGAAGGGAGAGAGAGAGACAGAAACGTCAATGATAAGAAAGAATCGACAATCAGCCTCCTGCACACCCTTCAACTGTAGACCAAGCTCACAGCCTAGGCATGTGCTCTGACCAGGAATTGAACTGTGACCTTCTGATTCATAGGTTGATGCTGAATCACTGAGCCACTCTGGCCTGGCTTTTCTTTTTTTTTTAATTGACAAAGTAATATATTGAAAATAATGCCTTCTTTTTACTCTGGAGCACAATCGTCTCAAAATGTGTTTCTTGTATATTCTTCAGACACTATTCATGTCATAAGAAAATTTATTTATAAAAGCACACAAATGGAATGACCATCACACTCGCACAAAAATGGCTATGCCCACAGCACATAAGGAGGGAATATATTAATTGCCACACCCTCAAAGATGGCAGCACTCACAGCTATAAGATGGTGGCACCCAGTACCCTCAGCCCGACAGGGTGCCTGCCTCTGGAGTCCTCTTAGACTCCCAGCTACACCGGGCTGGCCTGAGGTGCAGGCAAGTCTTGGATAATGGCTTCCCAGCCACCAGAGCTGGCCCGAGGCGCAGAGAAGCCTCAGATGGCAGCTACCCAGCCGACGCCCAAAGTTCAGGCAAGCCTTGGATGGCGGCTGCCCAGCAGATACCGGAGGTACAGGCAAGTCTTGGATGTTGGCAGCTCAACCACCTAGGGCCAGCCCAAGACATAGGCAGCCAATGCCCGAAGCGCAGGCAAGCTTTGGATAGAGAATTCCCAGCTGCCCAGGGCTACCCGAGGCTCAAGTAACCAGGGCCAACCAAGACTTGTGCTGCCAGCAGTGGCAGCAGCAGAGTTGTGATGGGTGTGTTGCCTGCCCCTGATCGCTGCGTTGCCTCCTGCCTCTGAGGGCTCCCAGTTTGTGAGAGGGGGCAGGCTGGGCTGAGGGACCGCCCCCCCCTCCAGTTCATGAATTTCATTGCACTGGGCATCTAATATATGGCTGAGGCTCCCCCTCCCCCCTCTAGTCCATGAATCTCATTTCACCAGGCATCTAATACATACATATACGTATAAGGTGATATATATATATATATATATATATATATATATATAGGCTCAAGTCCCTCCCCTCCCCCCCTTTCCCATTTGGTCCACTTTTCATATTAAAAAGACCATTAATCTTTAGATAAATTAATATATATGTAAAACAGACACTATGATATATATGCATAATAGAATGAAAATTAAGATATATTAAAATAATTTTACAACAGTTGACTGAGTCTCAAGTTGCAAATGAAGTACAGTAATAGGAAAAAGGACCGTCAAAAAAGGTACAACTTTAGTCTTAACTTTGATGAGTAGAAAAAAATAGAAAGAGTATAAAAATCCGTCCAGTAGTAGAGTTTAAAGTAATATACTTTCAAGTCAGTGGAGCATATAAAAGCAAACATAGCATAGTCTATATGAGCAGTAGACCAAAAAAGGGGAAATATTTAAACCAGAAAATATTTAACAACATTGAAAAATACAGTATATACTATATCCATGTGTTTGACATAGCTATATAGAAAGAGACTGACAGGAAAATAAGTTTGAGTGGTTTCCTTTAGGAAGTGAAGTTATGGGTAATTTTTGTTTTCTCCTTTATACTTTTTTTATTCTTAAAAAAATCATATGTATGTGCTTATATATGATAGCTATAGAACTCCAGCCAACAAATGTTCTTTAAAAATGAAAATGTAATATATTCTATTCTGTATTTTATATAACACTACAGACTTGGTGCATAGGGTCCCTCAGCCTGGCCTGTTGGGATCGTGCTGAAACCGACCCTTTGACATTCCCCAAGGGATCCCAGATTATGAGAGGACAGTTCTCGGGTGAAACACCCTGAAATCCGGCTCCCTCTTAGGTTCTGGGTATGTCACCCGAGAATCGAAGCTGCCAAATCACCTCAGCGAGGCAGCTTTGCATTGATTGTCTACCCCCTGGTGGTTAGTGCATGTCATAGCTACTGGTCAGAGCACCTGACCCCTGGTGATCATTGCGCATCATAGCTATTGGTTGGATGGTCTCTTAGGCTTTTATATATATAGATAAATATTCTGAAATTGAAAATTATTTATTTCTAGGATAATTGGTGGGCAGTATTGCTTATGGGAATTGCCCTGATCATGCTAATGGCTGGATTTATTAAGATATGCAGTGTTCATACTCCAAGTAGTAATCCAAAGTTGCCTCCTCCTAAACCTCTTCCAGGTAAGACAATTTGAACAAGGTTTGTATTCTTTTCATATTCTAAAACTTTCTATTTTTGTTTTAGATTATTGGTCCTATTCTAATAGCTATGCTTCTGTTATTGTTTTTAATGTTCATGTTTATCAGTGATTTCTGGCACATAAGCTCATTTTCCCTAGGAAAGATGCTTATGGGGAAATACAGTCTGTGAAAGAGTCTTTGGATGGAGGCTTTTAGTCACCTAATGACCATTCTTCATCTCTGAAAAGAACTCCTAAGGTTTGGTCTTACCCTTTCCCTCTCAGGGAGGGTTTAGATGAGTTCCAGGGATTTACAGAAGAAAAGAGTAGGGAGCCAATTGCTCCAGGTTATTTAGTCTGTTTTATTTCTCCCTCACCTTCCCCAAGGTATTTGTGACTTTTATGCTACCCTCTGACTCTTGCACCAGCCCTCTGTTCACTATTGGTTTTGAGTAGACATTATCCCAAGGCAATGCCAGAGGAGAACCAGAGCTAAAGGACAGAAGTTACCTCTTCTCTCTCCCACAGACTCCTCATGACACCCCTTGCCTTAGGCCAAATTCACTACCCTACAGAAGGCAGATTAAAATAGGGGGTTTCTTACAATGCTCTCCATTTCCCCTTAGTTGTTTTCCTGCATTTACCTATTTTGGGGCAAGAGAACTCAGTGTTCATACTGGGATAGTATCTTGGGGGGGGGGGGATCAGAGGAAATTTGATTTTTATATCATTGCTTTTCATAAATTTACAATGTTTAGCCCCCTGGAATTTTTTGTCAGTTACTTAGGCACTTATAAGGGCCTCATGACACATTTTAGATGAGTTACCAATTATATAGTCTCATTTATTGGAACAATTCTTGTACTTGTTTTCACTTTAAGCAAATTCTACCTTTAAAACTTAAAAAAACCCACAAAACCCTTGCCACCATTTTTTGGACTCTCACAAAAAGTGTTAAGCATTTTTACATTCACTACCATATCATCCTCACATATAGACTATATGAGTTCGTTATTTTCTCTGTTTTTATAGGCAAGGCATTAGAGTTGCAAAGAGGTTAAGTCATTTGCTCAAAGACACTCAGTAATTTCTTTGTCATGAATCTTGTTCTCAGAATTCATTAGTATAACAAGTTGTGGTTGTTGAGCACTTGAGAGTGGCTAGTCTTAATTGAGATGTGTTGAAATTGTAAATTTTTATAAAAGACATATCAGATTTTGAAGGCTTACTATATAAAAAATAATGAAATATTTCATTATTTTAGCCATCATGTCTTGAAATGATAATATTTTGGCTATATTGGATTCAGTGGAATAAAAAATACTCAATGTGCCCAGCTGGGTGTGGCTCAGAAGTTGAATGTTGACTCAGGAACCAAAAGGTCACGGTTTGATTTCCGATCAGGGCATGTGCCAGGGTTGCAGACTCGATCCCCAGTGTGGGGCATGCAGGAAGCAGCCAATCAATTATTCTCTCTCATCTTTGATGTTTCTCTCTCTCTCCCCCTTCCTCTCTGAAATCAATAAAAATATATTTTAAAAAATACTCAATGTATTTATTTTTTACTTTTTATTATTATAGTTTCTGAAAATTTAAAATTATATATATGGCTTATAAATCTATTTGATAGTACCAGTTTAGAGCTTTTCTCATTGGTATGGCAGCTTTGTTTTTAAAGAGTATGAAGCTCAAAAAAAAAAAGAGTATGAAGGTCACAGTAAATCTATCTTACTTTTGTTTGTGACTTGCAGGCACTTTAAAGAGGAGGAGACCTCCACAGCCCATTCAACAACCCCCGCGTCAGAGGCCCCGGGAGAGTTATCAAATGGGACACATGAGACGTTAACTGCAGCTTTTGCCTTGGTTCTTCCTAGTGCCTACAATGGGAAACTTCACTCCAAAGAGACACCTATTAAGACATCCCCAAATGAAACCCTCGCAAATAACAGTCAAAGAAAAAAATGGCAAGAGATCATGTCCTCAGACCAGGTGGAATTACTTAAATTTTAAAGCCTGAAAATTCCAATTTGGGGGTGGGGGGGTGGAAAAGGAACCCAGTTTTCTTATGGACAGATATTTTTAACCTAATGGCACAAAATGTTAGAATATTATTGTGTGCCCTGTGTTCCCTGTTCTTCGTTGCTGCATTTTCTTCACATGCAGGCAAACTTGGCTCTCTATAAACTTTTATCACAAATTGAAATATATATATATATATTTTTCAACTGCCAGTCAAGGCTAGGAGGCTCGACAACCTCAACATTGGAGACATCACTTGCCAATGTACATACCTTGTTATATCAGACATGTATTTCTTACGTACACTGTACTTCTGTGTGCAATTGTAAACAGAAATTGCAATATGGATGTTTCTTTGTATTATAAAATTTTTCTGCTCTTAATGAAAAATTACTGTTTAATTGACATACTCAGGATAACAGAGAATGGTGGTATTCAGTGGTCCAGGATTCTGTAATGCTTTACACAGGTAGTTTTGAAATGAGAATCAATTTACCTTTTTCTTATGATGGAGTTGGTTCTGATATTCATTTTGTCTTTATCAAATGGCTGCTAAGAGCACATGAGTGACTATGCTGAAGAACACAGTTGTGTTGTGCAAACTGGACATATGCAGCATACTACTTCAGAGTTCTTTATGTAAGTGTCTGATTTCTGCTTATTTTAAACTTTCTAATTCAATTTCATTTTTAATTGATAGGTGACATTTTATTCATGATTCAGTAGAAATTATGTCAATGAAATGATTCTTTTTGTAACCTCTTATTTGTTTTTCCATATATCTAAAGTATGCTAATTATGCTTTTGATTTTTGTTTGATATGGAAAAGAAAAGTTGTCTTTTTTTTAATCAAAATATTTGGACAAATTTTTCTGTATATCATTACTGACCATTGGTAACCACTAAAGAAGAGTGATTTGCTCAACTACTAAGTTGTAGATAGGCCTTCTGACGTTTTTTTCCCCCTAAAATATTTTAACAGAGGAGGTGACACAGCACAATGGCCCATTCCAAAATTATTTTTTAAACAGATGTAAATAATTGGCTTTTTAAAGAAATAAAGCAAAAGCATTTAATGTATTAAAAGGCTTATTGCTATGCAGAAATGGAAGGGGGCATTACAGGAATATTTTAAGCTTGTGACATATTTATTGCTTCTGTTTCCAACTACATCACTTAAATTAGACATAAATAGCTATGATTTTCCTGGCTTCATGTAGGAGGCAAATTTAGGAAAGTTGAAAAAATTTGTGTTTTGGCTTCTTTTTTTCCTTTTTTTTCTTAAGAGTATAAGGTTTACACAATCATTCTCATAATGTGACGCAAGCCAGCAAGGCCAAAAATGCTAGAGAAAATAATGGGAACTCTTCCTTGTAAACTTGTACAGTACATGGTGACTTTTTTCAAAATACAGCCTTTTGTACATGATTTAGAGACAAATTTTGTACATGAAATCCCAGATAGACTATAAATAATTCTAAACAAACAAGTAGGTAGATATGTATGTAATTGCTTTTAAATCATTTAAATGCCTTTGTTTTTGGACTGTGCAAAGGTTGGAAGTGGGTTTGCATTTCTAAAATGGTGACTTTTATTCTGCAAGAGTTCTTAGTAACTTCTTGAGTGTGGTAGACTTTGGAACATGTACATTTTTTGCTTGTAATGTTATCCTGTGGTGAGGTTTTGGCAGGTATACACTGCCCTGTTTTTATTTTGAGTCTAAGTTAAATGTTTTCTGAAAAGAGATACATGCACTGAACTCTCCACGGCAGATCAAGATGTGGTAAAACAAAAGGATCAAGACAAATGAGATCTAATACTACTGCAGTTTAATGTCCACTGTGTTTTATACAGTATCTTTTTGTTCACTTTGGAAATTTTTACTAAAAAATGCAAAAAATAAAGTATTGTGCAAAGATGTAAGGTTTTTTGAAACTTGAAATGCATTAATAAATAGACTTGATGAAATCAACTTGAAGGTTCCATTCTCTTGAACTCTGAGAACTTCCAAAAGAAGCTTCCCACAGGCAACTTCTTGCTAAAGGAAAGAGATTGGTAAGTAGAAAGAGGGTTGTCTCTTTCCACCTAAGTATAGATATCTTTATTTCTAGTTAGGAGTCCATGTGAAAAACTATGATTAGGTATCTTTGTATTTATACACTGAACATTTTCAAAACACTGAAATAATCTCAGTTGCTTTACATTATTTCCAGTCACTATTCTTTTGTGTTTAAAAGTGTTCTTGATGGAAGAGCTGGCATTTTTGAAACTGGTCTTATTGACATTGAGTCTTCACTTAACTTGGTCCTTAGGTTCTGCAGCTTAAAGCAAAACGATGTATAATGAAACCAATTTTACCAGAGGTTAATTGACATAAACTGGAGTTAAAGTCCTACAACATCTCATCAAAGTTATAGTGAAATTTTGAAGAAACAATGTTATTTGAGAACCTACTTTACCAGTATATATTTTGCAAAGTTTGCTAAGTGTCTAATTTTTAAAAAAAACCTAGTTTAGTAAGTATATTTTAAATTTTTGAGTCTCATCTTCCTACTTTGTCAAACTTATAGAAAATAAGGAAAAACTTGACATTTCAGTCTTATCTAGTAAAAGAATTATAAGCCTACAATGGTGCCCTGCATAGAATAATGTGCCCCCAATTCTTTTTCCTTTTTTTTTTTTTTTTTTAAATTGAGCCCAGTTATAGGTAAGTAGTATTTGTTTAATGAATAAACATGCCCTGCTTTTTAGTTACTTTAATTTAGAAACATTAAAATGTATATTATGTTTAGTTTTGTTTGTTCATGAAACCTTCATTATTGATTAATTCAGATGATTGCAAATTGGTTGTTTTTAAAACTGAATGCTTAGATTTTATTTAGAAATTTTTTTTAGTTTTCTAAATTCAGGCAACTTACAAACAAAATCATCAGTAAAATCAGACATTACAGTTTCTGGACTTAGTAATTCTTTTAATATCAGGCAATATCATATAGTTTGGTAAAGGACTTCTTTAAGGGAAAGACAAACTATCTGATCAGTTTTGTTTTCTGGGGTGTCTTTAGCACTTTGTGCTTGGGAACTTTATTTTTGTCATATTCACAGGCTAGTAAAAACTAAAGATTTCTCCAAGTTGAGCAAACTACTCCTCTTATAAATCCTGACATCTCTTTCTATGGTCTGTACATTTTAAGACTTACTGTTATTATTTCTCTAAGAATGGGATTAGTATCCTTGGCAGCTATGCAATTGTGGGTGCTTGTGCTTGAGAAGGATTTTAATTTCTTGTTATTTCTTTTTTTAAAAATTGTATTTATTGAGGTGACTTTGGTTTGCAAAACAATACAGGTTTTATGTGTACAACTTAATAAAACATCTGCACACTGCATTGTGTGCCCATTATTCCAGGCAGTCTCTTTCTGTCCCCTTTCCCCACCATCCCCCATTGTCTCCCTCATCAATCCCCTCCCCGCTCCCCTTCCTTACCCTCTGGCTATCACCACACTGTTGTCTGTGTGCCTATGTGTTATGTATTTGTTATCTTTTTTCTTTTTTTGGTTAATCACTTTGAAGTCTAAGAGAGTAACTGTAGCAAGAGCATTACAAAACTAGACAGCCATTTTAAGTGGTATAAGAAGGAATGTTCATGATCCAGATTTACAGGGTCAGGTCTCCCAATATTGGAAAGCAAGTTGGGTATAGTTTTAAGCAGCTACCAGAGATAGTTCATCTGTAGAGAAATTATTAAAATTGTAAGAAATCATAGTTGTTTGAAAACCATGTTTGATTTCCAAGTAACGAAACAGATGATCACGGGATTCAGTTTCAGCATTTCTGGTTTTATGTTCTTGATTAAAAACAACTTCCATTTGAACCTCTTTTTCTATTTATTACCAGTTTAGTTTTGCATTATTGTTTCTGTATTATTAGCATATAAGTGTGTTCTGTACTATTATATTGTGATACACACACATATATTTATATATTTATACACATACACACACAACATATATGCACTATTTTTAGTAGAAATTCATATGTTTTATAGCTAACAAGCTCTTTGGAGTGTTTTCTCCTATAAAAAGACAACAAGATGATAGGTAAAAATGGAGGGCTCAGCAAAATGTTTATTAGCCTCTGCTCCCTCTTAAAATCTCCACTATAATCACAGCAGTTGGAGAAAGAAGAAAACATGGACAAGGAGTACTGGAGAAAAGATAAAACGAAATGAAATTGGAAAGCGAAAGAGGAGTAACTGACTTGGCAGACAGGCTCATGGATGCCAAATTCTAAACCAGCCGTGGCAACATGAGAACAGCCATTGCACTGTTAAGATTTTGGAATATAGTCTTCAATACACTTTTCTATGCATGTGGCTAAAGGCATCTACATAATTTTAATGACTTAATATTTTATTCTCTGAATGCATTGTACATTTAAAAATTAACCAATTCCCTGTTGTTTGGACATTTGGGTTTTCAGATTATTCATTATTTTAAAAAGTCCTACAAGGGAAATCCTAAGACTGATATTTCCTGAAAATGTAATTGTTGGGTTAATTAAAGGTTTTTTAAATGTCATTGATAAAAATTATGACATTGTCTTCCAGCTGGATGTACCAAGTTATACTCCTTCCAAAACCATATAAGATTACTTCCACCATCACCATATTGTCACATAGTCAATGTTTTTCTTTTAAATCTGCGTGCTCCATGTTTACAAATTCACAGGTACACAACCACATGAATTCATTAGAAACAAAAGTAGAAGACTCTTCCTTAATTGACTTCATTAGCTTTGGACATCTTTGGATAAAAGGCTAATTCC